ACTATAATAGCAATTTCTATTTGGTAATGATTAATTGCACAGCTCTGAAAGCACATGTAATAATTGACAACTTCACGTATTACAGGGAGGGCCACATCGTTCTAAACCGGGGCTACTTTAGTTCACAACGTTTGACAACAGAAATGGATTTGGGCTGTTCTGAAGTTTAAAATGAACTATGACACGTCTGTATTAGTTAACATTTGATGGAGATGAAGTTGGCTGAATGACAAATGTTTTCTCACAGGTACTGTATACAATCAAAACAAATGTCATTTCAGTCAACGAAGTCAATGACTGGATTCCAGAGATCTACGCGTCACAATGCAGTACCAAAAGTCTATGCTGGCAGAGCTGAAGTTCTGAACGCTCTCCATCCAACCTCACTGAGCTCGAGCTGTTTTGCAAGGAAGAATGGGCAAGAATTCCAGTCTCTCGATGTGCAAAACTGATAGAGACATACCCCAAGCGACTTGCAACTATAATTGCAGCAAAAGGTGGCGCTACAAAGTATTAGCGCAAGGGGGCCGAATAATATTGCACGCCCCACTGTTCAGTTTTTTATTTGTTAAAAAGGTTTAAGTTATCCAATAAATTTCGTTCCACTTCACGATTGTGTCCCACTTGTTGTTGATTCTTGACAAAAAAAAAATATTTTTATATCTTTATGTTTGAAGCCTGAAATGTGGCAAAATGTTGAAAGGTTCAAGGGGGCCGAATACTTTCGTAAGGCAATGTATAAAGCGATGACACTGGCTCCATCTCGTCTCCTCTCGTGGAAGTTGTACTTTGGGTTCAATGTTGATGTAAAAACATTCTATTGTTGTTTTCTGGGGAAAAAATGCTTTAAAATGGTGTATTTCATGTCATGGTTGTAAATTTAGAGAAAATGGGGTTGACGCGCACATCCAATACTGAGCAGCGTGCAAAAAAAGTCGATAATAGGAAACATGAAAAGAAAAGGAGATGACTCTGCACAGCTTTTAGCTCCCAAGAGTTTTTAATGTTATCACCCATGGTGATAACATTGGGATCACCCATGGTGATCCCAAGAGTTTTTAATGTTATCACCCATGGTGATACAATAGACCTCTGTCTATTGTATCTAATATGTATGGGGATGACTTGAGACCATATTTTATCGAGCCAGCAGGTGGCAGCATTTCTATCTGAACGACAACGACAAACCCTGGTTCACTGCTAAACTCCGGCAGCTCAGGAAAGCAAAGGAGTCTGCTTTCAGGGAGGGGGACCGCAGCGGCTACAAAGCAGCTAAATATCAGTTCAGGAAAGAACTGAAAGCAGCCAAGTCCCGGCACAGAGAACGACTACAGGAGCAGTTTGGTAACACAACGATACTGCTTCTGTCTGGAGGGGCCTACGGGAGATCACCAACTACAAACCCAAAGCCCCCCCCTGTGCTGATGACCACAAGCTAGCTGACGAACTGAACTTATTTTTCAGTCGCTTTGATGCTGCCCCTGACACCTCTCCCTCCCCCACCCCCCACTACTCTAACGACCCACCCATCAGCCCTGCCCCCAGCCTAACAATAGCCGCTAAAGAGATTAAACAACTCTTCCTGAGGCTGCACCCCCGCAAAGCTCCTGGCCCGGACCACGTGTCTCCGGCCACTCTGAGACACTGCGCCAGTGAGCTTACTCCTGTGTTCACTGACATTTTCAACACCTCTCTGCAGTCCTGCCATGTCCCGGCCTGCTTCAAATCCTCCATCATTGTCCCCGTCCCGAAGAAGCCCAGGATCACAGGACTCAATGACTACAGACCTGTAGCACTTACGTCTGTCGTCATGAAGTCATTTGAACGCCTGGTTCTCTCCCATCTCAAGTCCCTCACCTCCCCCCTCCTGGACCCCCTGCAGTTCGCCTACAGAGCCAACAGATCTGTATACGACGCCATTAACCTGGCCCTCCACCACATCCTACAGCACCTGGACTCCCCGGGGACCTACGCCAGGGTCCTGTTCGTGGACTTCAGCTCTGCCTTCAACACAATCCTGCCATCCCTGCTCCAGGACAAGCTCTCCCAGCTCAAAGTGCCCGATTCCACCTGCAGGTGGATCACTGACTTCCTGACGGACAGGAAGCAGCGAGTGCGTCTGGGGAAGAATGTCTCGGACCCTCGGATTATAAATACAGGAGCCCCACAGGGCTGTGTTCTTTCTCCCCTGCTCTTCTCCCTGTATACCATCCACTGCACCTCCAGCCACGACTCCGTGAAGCTGATCAAGTTCGCGGACGACACCACCCTCATTGGACCCATCTCCAACAACGATGAGTCCGCCTACAGGAGGGAGGTGGACCGGCTGGTGTCCTGGTGCAGTGGTAACAACCTGGAGCTGAACGCCCAGAAGACAGTGGAGATGATTGTGGACTTCAGGAAGAGCACTGTCCCCCCGCCCCCACCCTCCGTGATGGACTCCCCCATCACCTCTGTGGAGTCCTTCCGTTTCCTGGGCACCACCATCACCCAGGACCTCAAGTGGGAGCCGACCATCATCAACAAAAAATAAATATAAAACTATAAACAAAATTCTTTTTGCTGAGGAAAGGTTTTCAGATAGTCATAGTACACAATATTCTGTGGGTCTTTAAAAATCAGTAAAAACCATCAGAAACGGCTGGCAATATGGGAGTACCTGTTCTGAAATGGGCTGGCAGTCAAATACGACTACTTCATTTTAATAGTCCCTGAAATACCCTCGTGTACCTCTTGAGGTCCGCGAACCCCCTTTTGAGAAACACTGGACTACATGATACACGCAAAAGAAATGGAAAGCGCCATCAATCTAAAGTAAAAAGCAAAAAACAAAGACACGTTCATCACAATTAGATAAACTGTTCATGAATGAATCCACTGAGTTTAAAGAAGGAGTAAAGCACTGCTTTGATAAGATCTGGATCATTGGTTAAACTGATGGTGGATCTCATACACGCACTAACGCCCGTGAGCCGCTCCGGACCGATCCGGACCGCGTCACCTGTGGAGTGGAAGCGACTTTTCCTGAACAAGCTTCATAATCGTACTGAACGCAGCTTCTAAAACACTTGGAAGTAATTCATATAAACATAGAATAAAAGCGAATACAAGTTTCCACAATTAAATTGTACATAAAAAACACACCAAACTCCACCTTTTCTCACTGGAACCATGTAAAATGTACCGAAATGTCATTAATCTCTGGGTCTTACCAGCGGCTGCAGCAGGTGTGTCCTGCGCGTCGATAGCTCCGCGTCTGAATGAAGCAGCTCGCATCAATTTGTCCAAATGATTCCTCTGCACACAAGGCATGCGCCCTGCACCGTGTACCCACAATCTATAACCATTTAGGCTGCACTTCAAGCAGACACACACACGCATGCACGCACGCACGCGCACGCGCACAGGCACACACACACACACACGCACGCACGCACACACACAGTGGGATGGATGGCACATACTTGCCTCACTTAGTCACTTCTATCAGTCTGCCGCAGGGCAGCTGTGGATCCAGTAGAAGATCCAGTTCCACTGTGTAGGGAACAAATGGTGCCATGAAGAGTCTCAGTGTAAAAATGCTATTTAAAACCAATGAATCATAATTAAAGTTAATATTACTATTATCATTATTATCATTTTCATTAACTGCAGTCAATTCAATTTAAATACATTCTGCACCAACGACTGCTGCTGTAATAATTCATTTGATTTAATGAAAGCTCCAGATTTAGTTTTACTTCATTTCCGTCCTCCTTGTGAAAATAATAGGTAAGAAAAAGAGCCTCGATGTTATCTGCAACATTCACTGAACCCTTTACACCAAGCACTTCAATCGTTAATGTACTTTTCTTATTAGCATTTGCCAGATATAGAGTCGACAAATAGCTGAAGGTAGGAAGATACAAAATCACAGCCAATAAACAAGTTCAGGGCACTTTATGTCAGATGGTGTCAAACCCAAGGCCCACAGGCCAGGTGCGGCCCACCAGAACATTTTCTGTGGCCCCTGAAATAATGTTAAATTTTTACTGCAGCAGTGATGGCATGTTCTACCTCACTTTAAAGCTAATATCTATAAAACAAGAGTGCTCTACGGCTGGCTCAGGGCCATAACAAATAGGAAAGTGAAACAAAGAAAAAGTGCAAAAAAGTAAAATTAACTATAACAAAGACAAGTTTAACGGTCAACAAATGAAGGTATGAGATGTGATTATGTAATTTTCAGTAGTGTAGTGCACGTGTGTGGAAGCCAGTTTATCATGTGAAGTGAGTGTAGTGCATAAAACAAAAGACAAATTCAAATGTCCAGACAAGGATTGGAGCAGAGCCCACCACAGGTCCAAGAGAGCCAGCCACAGAACTAGTTTGGTTCAGAAAATCTTTCAGAAAATAACCCAAAATATTTAGTTAAAAATACCTTCACTGTGTAAAAGGTATTACAAATAACTGGAATAACAGGCCCCGGCCAAAATCAGTGTGACACCCCTTATGAACGCCACCAGGAGGCGCTCTGGAGCTGTGTCGCTGCAATGAAAAAGTAAATATGCAGTTTATTTAGTCCCGTATGAAACTTGGTCCTCTGCATTTGACCCGTCCTGCCACTAGGGCGTCTGTGAGGAGCAGTGGTCCCAGCGCCTGAGGACTCTTCTCCAGATGTTGATGTTTGGCTTGGTCAGGACCGGAGCTGGAGGATTTAACTATTGTGCATGTGTTTGTGGTGGGGGAAACTGGAGCACCCGGAGGAACCCTATGAAGACACGGGGAGAACACGCAATGACTGAATCTTAGACAGGTTGACAAGACACATCAGATTGTTTTATTTTCTTTTATTGTGGAAATCCACCTGAGCTAAATATTAAATATATCTACACAAGATAATAGGGTAAATAAAGTGACAAACAGTGGGACAAATACATAAATAATCTCATAATTGCAGCGGCTGAAGAGCATGCTGCAATTAAAAAAACTTTATTTAAATCAAGAGCGGGTCGTCTGCTTCAGATGTGTACGTCGCATCCGGGCGCGCTGTTCTTTATCGCGTCAGATATAACTTTTGCACCAGACTGTCCGACTCCGTTCCCCTGGAGGCTGAACGCCAACAAAAAAAGGGAAAAAATTGGACAACATTCAAAGATAACACATATGAGTAAATATAGGTTCTTATTGAGAACATTCTGCTGTAAATAAAGGGCATTTGCATTATGTTTTTCTGAAGGCCACCATTCTGCTCACTGACTATGAGCGACTTATTCACCTTTTTTTCCTTCCAGGTTAGATGATTGTAACATGCTGTAGCGATGTATATCTGACAGACCGGTTTCCTCAGTCTGTCAGATCAGTGAGGTCAGAACACCTGCTTCTGTTGAATCTCAGTTCATTAGAGCAGCTTCATTGGAAGTTTTTCAAATCAAGTGCCCTGGATTTTAACACCATGTTTTACATTTCATAGTGTGTTTTTTTCTTCTTTTTTCTTTTGAGCCTGTGAAGCACTTTGGAAGGCTGGTTTTGTTGTAAATGTGCTATACAAATAAAGCCGTAGGCCGCCTTTCCCAAGAGCACCACCTAACTCAGACCCAGTGGGCTCTCTGCCTCTCCAGAGAGTGCCACCACTCAGGCTTCTGAACCATGATGACTAACACAGGTGAAGAGGGACTATCCCTGTGTCTCCTAATCCAGACAAATGGCAAGGCACAGCTGTGGGAGCAAGAACATGAAGCTCCCAGTGGAGCGTCTGAGTAGGGGCCTCAGTCTGAGGGCCCCTCAAAAAAAAAATCACAAGGAAAACACAGACTAAGTGTAACCCTCAGTGACCTGAAGTTTTTGTACCCACAAAGACCCCTAGGGTCAATGCTTCCTGAACCCCCCTCCAAAAATCCTTGGAGAAAGTCCAACACTGCCTGTATTACACAAAATGGTGATGGTGGCTGGTGCCAGTAGGAGGAAGGCCCAAGTTCAGGAAACCCCTCTCAGCTTCAGACCAAGAGCCTGTGCCAAAGCACCGGACAGTGCAAGATGCCTCTGCCTTGCACCAAGGTGCCAGTGTGACCAGATCCAGATTCCACCTGGTGCTCAGGCGGCCTGAGCCACCACCAAAGTGAGGGTTGGTCCTCGAGCCTCATTCTCTGGACCAGCTGTGGCAGAAGATATATCAGAACGAATGCTGTCAGTGGGCTGTAGCATCCATCCCCAATGTCAGAACATCTGCCGACTTTAAGAGAACCACAATGGGCACAGTGTGTTCTCTGCACCGGCAAAAAGTTCAATTTCCACTGTTACCCTTGATAACTAGGCACCAATCAATGTGAGAGGCTCTGAGAGCGGAGAGCATCTGTCCACAGGTAAACCTCCTGCTTTCTCGAGCAGGGGGGGACCTGGTCTCTTCCTGCTTGTTCAGGCTACTGCTGAGTGTTGTCTGCAGAATGACTGTGACCTGCGATCAAGAGGCCTGTTGACGCTAAGAATATATTGAATGCATTTGTTCCAATGGATATGGTTTACAGTACATAGAGTAAAGAGACTTATGCATCAGACTTTCATCTCACACCTCTGGGAAAGCTTCTCCCAAGTCCTGGAGGAGGAGGGGGACATTGAGTCTTCGTGGACCATTTTGTCCACCTCTACCTCTGGTGCAGCAGCTCGTAGCTGTGGTCGCAAGGTGCTGGTCCCAGCAGCAACCCCCGAACCCGGTACTGGACAACGGTAGTAAGGGTGAAGAAGGAGTCCTTTCAAGCCAGAATGGATCGCGGGAAGCTGTCCAGTTGCAGAGACAAAAACCTGGGACTGAGAGGAGTTTGAAGAGTCCAAGGACCATGACTATCAGTCGACCTCAAAAAGATATTGGTATACCGTCTGGCGCCTCAAGAGGGGGAAGCATTCCTTTGCCAACACCGTGTATGGTGCGAGTGGAGAACTGCTGACCTTGACTGAGGATATTGCTGGGCGGTAGAAGGAATAGTTTGAGGTTCTCCTCAATCCCCCGTCACGTCCTCCATTCCTTAGGCAGAGGCTGAAGATGTTGGGGCAGATACTTCCATCTCCCTGATCTCCCAATCAAGGTTGTTGGCAGCCTCCTCGCTGGTAAGCCTCCAGGAGAAAGCTGTGTTCCCATTGCCGGCAGTAAGTCATACTTTCCCTTTGTCACCGGTTCTGTTCAGTGAGGGGCTGGTGCTATGTGTACTGGGTGCAGCTCTGACTGCCACCCCCCCCGACCCAGAAATGGATTAAGGGGAAGAAGATGGATGGATGGATGGATTAACACAAGAGAGTTAACTGAAAACAACCTACAAGCTACAGCAAGAACAAGCAAAGAGCCAGCGGGCCAAACGAGCCAGGCTTGGTCCAAAACCTGTGAGACGAACACGACAAAGCTACCATTTGTGTCATCCTGATTACTGCAATAAAACACAGCCTCATGCTGTGATTTCAGCTGTTCCCAGCCTTCCCCATGAAGGTGTTATAAAGTGAGAGGTTTAAGCATTTTTCTTTTGAACCGTACAGTTGGATGTCATTACCTTTAAATTAAAGCAGACACACTATCGACTCCATTTGTATTCATTTACATGTTTCTGACTTTGGAAATATGTCACTTACTTTAAGTAGGACAGTTGGGTGTTTCCTTTCAAAGCTGTTGCGAGGAATATGGCCCCGTCCATGCCCAGAGAGTTCTCCTGCATACTGGTGCAGCAGGTGTGAGAAAAGAACATTCAGTGATTGCTATGGACTGAATTGTCTGCTGTGCACAACAAGGATTAGTGTTTTTAACAATCCTAACCCTGTCACTCTATAATGTGACATCACAGAAGATGCTTCTGGAAATGTACTGAACTAAAACCCATGGAAATCCTTCTGGAAACTTCACAGATTCACTGATCTCAGTCTGATCTTATTGTAGGAATTTAGTTTTGTTTCATTCATAACAAGTGGTTACATTTCTAACATTGCTTTGACAAGGTGAAGTACAGGCTTCTCAACTATTGTAGATTTGTTTGTATTTGTGTGTGTGTGTGTGTGTGTGTGTGTGTGTGTGTGTGATAGTGTGTGTGTGTGTGTGTGATGTGTGTTTCACTCACTTCAAAGATTTCAGAGTTCGATTGGTTTTCAGAGCATTAGCTAAAGCCTTTGCCCCTTCAATGCCCACAGCGTTTCCTCGCAGGCTGAAACACAAAATACACACATAAACCAAACATATACAGTGCAGCATCTTTGAGTGAGTGCAAACAACTACTTTACATGTGACCTTGACACTTTCTTTTACAAGTTTCACAACAATCAGTGTCAGATACGTTTGAAACAGGGTCAGATATAGCCTGGCCTTTGCCATCCGTAAACTCCGGTCAAATCTTAAACAAGTACGAGGGTATAGTAAAACCAGGCTAGGTCAGATACATATTACTAATTACTTTAAACGGTAACTTGGTGACAAACTGTGAGATTACTTTTTAAAATGTATTTTTATTTATCTATTTATTTGATAGATTTGCTTTTCACTGTTGTCCCATTGTCTGTTTCATGGCGCGACAACATGACCTCTGAACCGGCCCTCTCCATCTGCACCTGCGGACTGCCTTGCTCGACCCGCCTGCGAGCGCTTCAGTCCTGCACCGGACCTGACCATGCTCTGCGGCCGCTGCGTGGCATTGGTCCTTGTTCTGTAGTTTAGGTCCTGGATCTATAGCCCGTCCGTCCATGTGGAGTTAGGGTTTTTCCTTGCCGATGCAGGAGGGTCTGTTGGGCAGTTAGTGTCCAACTAGAAAGACTGCGGTGATGATCCAGGACACTTTAACATTCTACGACATGTATGGACGTTTCTCAACATTCATGGACATTGGTCTCTCCCTATGGACAATTCATATGTTTATATTTTGTGTTTTAACTGTTGATTCTCTGATCTGTGTTGGTGATTTCAATGGTTTTGTTAAGTCTCTGAGATGACTGCTGTTGTGATTTAGGGCTATACAAGAATACATTGATGTTGTTGTTGCTGTTGTTGTAGGGACAATGCACATTAATGAACATCAGTATAAAACACACTTATTTTGTTTTATACTGTGGACCAACCACCTGCAGGAGGATCAGTGAGGGGCTGGGCTGGAGTGGGTGGCAGCTGATTGCCACCCTCAACCCAGAACTGGACAATGGGGAACAGAATGGATGGATGGAAGTTTGTTACAGCTAACACTGCACATGATAAACACATATTGACATTGATGTTAAAGTGTCATCAGGACTTTGAGTTGCTAAAGTTCCATGGCTGAAACACCACACGCACCTTTTGTGTTCAGAATAACTTACTCGAGTGATTGAAGTGACTGGTTGGTTGTTAGTGACTCTGCCAGTGCAACAACCCCTGCAGTTCCCGCAGACACGCCCTGTAGACTGAAATACAATACACTGAATCACATCTTAAACATGGGCTCTCATTTCACTTTTGTGCAGACGAATGCCAGAGCTATATGCCCATTTCTAGACAAGAACAGGGCTCTCTGGCACCCCTGCTGGACTGCCTTGGTGACGTCAAGGCTTGGTTGGCCCAAAATGTTCTATGTTTGAATGAGGGGAAAACAGAAGTTGTTTTGTTTGGGCCTAACGGATGCTCTATTGGACCTGAGCACCCTCTGTCCATCCCCTTGCCACCAACCTTGGCGTCACCGTGGATATTTAATTTATCTTAACCTGGACAAGCAGATCAGCACAGTCGTCAAATCAGGCTTATATAACCTTCGTCTCTTATCCAAGGTTAAACTTTTTATTATCTTTTAAACATTTTGAGCAAGTCGTGCAAGCTTTTATTTCTTCACGTCTGGACTACTGTAGTGCACTTTACACTGGGATTTCACAGAAGGCACTTTCACGCTTACAGTTAGTCCAGAACTCTGCGACACGGCTTTTAACAGGAACCAAAAAAACGAGAGCACATTTCTCCGATTTTAGCTCTGACTTAGCACTGACTTCCTTTTAATTTGAGGATTGATTTAAGATATCATTGTTTGTTTTTAAAGCTTTGAATGAACTGGCCGCTCCTTACATCTCAGACCTCATCCATATCCACCACCCGCCCCGTGCGCTCAGGTCCGAGGGCCAGTTCCAGCTCGTGGTGCCTAAGACGAGACTCTAAAATAAACCCGGGGACAGGGTCTTCTCTGTGGAGGGACCAAAACTATGGGACGTTAAGACACCTCCCTCATTGGAATGTTATACTCATTTTTACTCTCTGGCTTTTAACACCGCGTGAGTCGTCTGGTCCTCTGTTTTATCAGTTTGATTTATTTTATTGTTTTTACATCAAGGATTATTTTTAATTTAATGTATTGTTTTTAGTGCTGTCCAACGATTAAAATATTTAATCGCGATTAATCGCATGAATTTCATAGTTAACTCGCGATTAATCGCAAATTAGTCACACATTTGCGTGCTGTGTGCAATTGCTTTTTTTATTGAAAACAATGTGTAGTGTTATATTACACACTAACATTTGATGCAAAATCATCAATAAATGGATGACAAAATAAATAATTGGTAACAAAAAGCCCCTTCAATGTGTGTGTGTGGGTGTGTGTGTGTATGTGTGGGTATAGACCATAGACTGTATAGAAACATCATGGTGTCATTATGATGATGATAAACAATCTGTAAATATTTTGTAAATTTGTTCATGTGAATACTCTATGCTGTTTCTCTGTTTACCTTCGGTATATCTATGACTGTATACTGTTTGCTTGTATTGCCTTTTTTATTAACCCCTCCCCCCATCTCCCACTTCATGCCCCCCCCCCCCCCCCTCCCCTCCTATGTGCCCTTCTGGGTTTCTTCTTTGGCCCCCTGTATCTCCAACTACATATTGTTTGTAATCTCTGTCTACAATGTATCTGAACTAGTCCTTTTCTTTGTTTCTATTTTTTTTTCTGTATATGTGTTTGTCTGCAATAAAAAGTAAAAAAAAAAAAAAAAAAAAAAAAAAAATTTTTTTTTTTTTTTTTTTATCGCGCGATAAAAAAAATGACGGCGTTAATATTGATTTGCGTTAACGCGTTAATAACGCGCTATTTTGGACAGCCCTAATTGTTTTTATGACTTTTTAATTATTTTTATTGCATATATAATGTTTTAGTTTCTTTCTTTCTTTTTTACATATGACGCTGGCAAAACCAGGGCGACAGTAGCTAAGTTGGTAGAGCATTGGCCTTTGGGCCTGGAGGTCGTGAGTTCGATTCCCACCATGAGACCTACTCCAACTGCTCCCACTGATGACTGCTGTCGTTGTGTCCTTGGGCAAGACACTTAACCCCCTGAAGCCCCCCGCTGAAAGATCAAGGCGGTTTCTGAACTGATGGAGCAGCCATCTTCCTGTGGACTCACCCCCTGCAGAAGATCAGTGAGGGACTGGTGCTATGAGACTTGGGTGGCAGCTCTCATTGCCACCCCCCCGACCCAGAAATGGACAAATAAAGGGGTTGAAAATGAAATGAAATGAAATGAAATGACGCTGGCAAACCTATGTATCTAAATGTGTTACTTATATCTATGTGCAGCACTTTGGAAAATTGTTTTATAAAATGTGCAACATAAATAAAGTGGATTGGATTGGATATTCCAAATGTTACTGGGTTTGTACATGGCCTTTAGCTCAAGGGGAAAGTCAAGCAAATACTAACCATAATGTCTGCAGACTTGCATTGCTTTTCAAGGCTTCAGCGAGAGATGCGATACCTTCATTTCCAATAGCATTTTCTTGTAGACTGTAAGAAAAAGAAAAGTGAGTGCATAGTGAGGCTTCTACAGCTGCTGCCGACTGTGTTTGGTGCCGCTTAAAAAGTTGGAAAAACTACCTTCTCACTTAAGAACAAACAGGATCTATGCCAAAAGTGACTCTATTGTGAGATCAAGAATTTCTATAGAGTTCTGTTAACCCTCACTTTGGAACCCGCTCGTTCATGATGCCAGACTTCATTTATGGACTAGGATAAATATTTACTCTATGTCTGTCACAACAAAACCAATACAGGCCAAAGTATCTTCAAAAAATAGTAGTCATAGAATAATAATCTTAAAGGTGTAGTAAGTGATGTTGTTAGCTTAGCCGTAGCGCCAACTCAAAACCACTCCCCCCTCCCCTCGCCTTTTCACCAAACCAAACATCCAGCATTTTCTGTTATTTCTCACAACAGGGAGAGTGGAGCCAACGTGAAATTGGCTTTTTCTGTTCAGCCATTTTAGGTTTTAGAAAATCCGATAACTCCGGTGCACTCGCGAGAAACAGGAAGAGGGTGAAGGGGGTAAACGAATCCCATTGGTTTATTTTTATCGGTCCGCTCCAAAATATTTTTTATTAATTTTTGGAGACTATAGTCATCTGACATACTATTTGAAAACACATTATAACTTGACTTCTTTTAGGGTTTTTCCACAATATTTAAAAAGATGCGTCTGGAAAAAATCACTGACTGGATCTTTAAATCAGACGTTATCAACATGTTTTTCCAGGATTGTGTATTATCTAATGTGATGCCTATAGTTTGGCCTCTTTAACCTGCTCCACCTGAGTAGTCCCTATGGTCAGGTCTAAGTCTGGAGTAGTTTTTTGTATGTGTTTTTGTATGAGCAAAATACCATTGTTTTTGTTTTTATTATATACTTTATAGCACTAATTTATTTGATAAGAACCACTGCACAACTGCCTTTAACTCTGTGTTTAATTTAGTTCTTAATCCGTTGGCTGTTGTGGCGGACATATACACATGGCCCGTGACAATACATATGTAGTGTTTGTTTACGTTCATGGGGCCTGCTCGATTATGAGATGCGGCACCTAAAGGGATTTCCTTCAAATCAGATCAAAAATCAAACTGCCACTGTACGTGTTGAAATTCATAAAATACAAAAGAAAGCATGTATGAGCATTAAAAATAGAAGATTACTCTAGAAGCTGCAGCGCTGTGTTGTGGAGCAGCGCCTGAGCCAGGGCCTTGGTTGCAGCAGATTTGATAAAGTTCCACTGGAGACTGAAGTAGAAAAAGGAGAAAATAGCCATAATTGTAAACCTCACTGATGAATAAAGGTGCAAATGATACCACTCTAAAAGAATCAAAAGGAGAGAAGGCACTTACTGCAGCGACCGGAGAGACTGATTGAACTTGATGGCACCAGCGATGGCCTGAACACCTTCATCGTGCAGCAGGTTTGCAGTGAGGCTAAATACAGATACACAGTGAACATAAATGTGGCAGCAGGAGAACAGAAAAGAGACAAGATTTTTATAATTATTTACAACCATTTTTGATTCCAGTGTAGCCAACTCAATAGAGCTATTAGAGCTATTTAAGTGCTTGCATCGTTTCAGCACAATTTATTGGAAACATAATTATTTCTAAATATTAGATTAAATTAATGCGTGAGGCTAGGTGATAGGGGAGGGTCATAGATCCAAGCGTTTCAATTGAGGTGACATCATCTCAATGCAAAAAATGGCTATAATTTAAGGTTGGTGTATCACCCAAATAATTATCACACATGAGCTTTGGATAGACTGAAATATGAGGAGCAGAATATGGGACCTTTGAACATCAGAAGGTTTCACAGGTAACCTGGTCTTACGTCTGACCAAACCAACCACAGAGACCAGGAGGACCATCACAAACAGCTTCTGCTTCTCAACAGCAGTGCCCTGGTACCGCAGAAAGGCAAAACAAGAATGTTTTTCCTGCGTCTGATCCCGTTCTATTGATGAATTAATGTATTATTTATTTTGTCAAATCTAAAGGCAAAGACATTCATGGACTGGATATTCATCTCCTAAAATCATGCAACGATTATTGTCACAGTTTATCTTTACTCCATCTTTGGTTTAATGGTAAAACCAAAACCGTTATTTTCATGTGTTTTTATTATTGTCATTGACTTGCAACAGCCGAAGGACCCTGGCTCCCCACGTGACTGCGAAGTATCAGGACACCTGTGTCTGGGGCACAAAAGGCGAGGATGAGAGGAGGAAGCTGGAGAGCGAGACACTGAGCAGACTCAGGGCCAGACACGGGCCAGACTTGGGCCAGACACGGACATGTATTTACATGGGCATGACATGTATTTACAGGGGCCAGACACGGGCCAGACTTGGGCCAGAGACAGGCCAGACACGGGCCAGATACGCTGCCAAACTGAGGACAGAAGGACTGAGCAGCGGCGCCCCGTTTTAGTCCATTTTTAGCCCTGAGATAGCCTTGGTTCTTACAGCTTTTATTTGCTTTTTATTGATTTTATAAAATAATTGTTACACTTGCTTTCATACCACGGTTTAATTTAATAGTGGTCTGAAGGTTAAAGCACAGACCTGTGCTCAAGAGCTTTGTCTGACGTCTGTGTACAGTTTATTTGAGTACAACACGGCGGCTCTCATGGTCATCCTGGATCTCTGTCCTCGTCTCATCCATAACAATAATAGTTTCTGTTTGTAGAATCTGAGTGTTCTTTTCTTCTTTTACTCTGTATTGTACAACCATGACATTGAAACCTCCCCATGAATAAAGCTTACCTTGTGCAGTGCTCTGTGCCTAAATACATTCTGAAAGTCTCGCACACTTTCCACTTGTGAGAAAGTGAATTTGACACATTCATGAGTGTTTCCAGTTTGATAATTCCACTCACTCGAGCTCCTGCAGCGTCCTGTTCTTATAGAGCGCCTTGGCCATGTTCTGAGCTCCGTTTACGCCGATAGAGTTCTCCCTCAGACTGCAGAAAGAGTAAAAGTACTTCAGAGCCTGGAGGAGGTGAAGGCGTGAGGACAGAAGGTCTTACTTCAGGGACAGGAGGCCGTGGTTCAGCCTCAGAGCCTCGGTTAGAGCCGCTGTTCCTTTGTTACTGATGGAATTACACTGAAGTCTGGACACACAACATAACCGTCATTCACTACACAACGTATGTTTATCCCTGTGTGTGTGTTTGTGTGTTATGTGATTGTGCGTGTATTCTGTGTGTGTGTCTGTCTTGTAAGATAAAGTATACCTTGGAAGTGTTGCAGATTTTTATTATTGTGTTGGGTGTGTGTGTCTTGTATCTATGGGTGTGTTCATGTTGTATGTGTGTTAGTGTCTTTTATGTGTGTGTTGTGTGCGTGTGTGTGTGTGTGTTTGCGTGCGCATGTGTTTGTCGTATGTGTGTGGGTTGTGTATGTGTGTCTGTCTGTTTGTGTGGAGTGTCTTGTGTTGGCTGTTTCTGTGTCTTGTATATATGCGTGTGTGTTTTGTGTGTGTGTTGTATGTGTGTCTTGTATATATGTGTGTGTGTGTGTGTGTGTGAGTATGTGTGTGTTAGAGTACAGTGATGTCACTTTGCATTGTGTTTGTGTTGTGTGTGTGTTGTATGTGTGTTGTGCGTGTTGTGTGTATGTGTGTGTTGCATATGAGTGTGTCTTGTATGTATGTGTGTGTGTGTGTGTGTGTGTTGTATGTGTGCATGTGTGTGTGTTGTATATGAGTGTGTCTTGTATGTATGCGTGTGTGTGTTTTATGTGTGTGTTGTATGTGTGTCTTGTATGTATGTGTGTGTGTGTTGTATGTGTGTCTTGTATGTATGTGTGTGTTGTATGTGTGTCTTGCATGTATGTGTGTGTGTGCGTATGTGTGCGTTAGAGTACAGCAATGTTAGTTTGCCTTGTGTGTGTGTTGTTTGTCTGTTGTATGTGCGTGTGTTGTGTGTGTGTGTGCGTATGTGTGCGTCTGAGTACAGTGATGTCACTTTGCCTACAGCCTACAGTTGTTGAATGCATTTTGTTCCCATTGAAACGAACGCTGTCAAGTGTTATTTGAGTTTCTTTCTGTGGCTACTTACTGTAGAGAGAGCAGAGTGTGGTTCGCTCGTAATGCCTCTGCCAGAGCTGCTGTCCCTTTATCGCCGACTTGGTTGCTACAAAGACTACAACGAGACCGAACAGATGATATTACTATACCCTATCAACACAGCATTAAGGTAACGACAGCGAGGCAGCCCTGAAACGTACACTAGTGTTTTCAGGCTTCGGTTTGTCTTCAGTGCCTCCGCAATGTTCTTCACTCCCTCTGCACCGATCAAGTTTTTCTTCAGACTATAACGACAAAAACAGAGACGATAAATATGTTTATATTTGTAGATGATGTATCGTCGACGTCACTCACTTTAGATAGACCAGGTTTCGATTACACTTCAACACCTCGGCCGCCGCATGAGCCCCCTCCTTGTCTATTCCGTTATTTTGGAGGCTGAAAAGAAACAAATGTCAACTTTACAACTCAGTACGTTGTGAAATAAAAAGATTCACGCCACTCACTTCACGGACACCAGGGCTTGGTTTGTTTTCAGGGCCTCAGCCAGGAACTTCACACCTTTGGAGCCGATGTTATTGCTTCTGAGACTAAATCATAAAAACGTTACAGACATATGGACGGTGACTTTCATATTTGCTCAAACAGGGTCTTACTTGAGAGATGTTAGAGTTCGGTTGACCAGAAGAGCTCGACTGATGGCTTTAACTCCTTTGTTGGTGATGGAGTTGTCGGCTAAGCTAGAATAATGAATGCTACAGGTCGAAATCTTCACGTGTATATTAAATGTTTATATTAGATGATTCTCTCACCTAAGTTTTCTGATGTGGCAGTCTTTCGCACTCAGCAGACTACCCAAAAGTTCCATAACGTCATCTTTAAACTGATTGTTCTCTAACCTGTGGAGGACAAAAACGTTTTTAACAAATACTGTGATGTTGATTTTAAAGGCACTGTTAGGATTAGATAGCAATATGGCCTACGTGCAGGACTGTGCAAGGACTCTGATGGACTCCATGTTATGACTATGATGTGACTGTCTCTGTGTGACACGTATGTCTTTCCATGTGTGACGTGACAATGACTATATAAACTGTGTACTGCCTTTATTCTGTCTGAGAGAAAGAAACAATGGAAACCACTGGAACTTGAGAGAAACTTAAATAAACTTCCGGAGTTTGGCACACCACGATCCGTCTCTGTCTGCTTCATCCCTGACAGATTTGGTGGAGGATGCACGGCTCAGTGTGCGCCATTCTCTGGCTTGTTTTGAGGGAGTTTCCTTTGTTTCTTTTTCTCTGTGTGAGAGACCTTCTTGTCGCTTCTGTCACTTTTGTTTTTTAAATTGAATATTCCGACGCGGAAAAGAAGTTGGCTGACCTCTTGGACAGTCCTTGGATCCTGTTTGACAAGAATAAGGTAAGCAGACACCTGTTTATATGTATAGTCTGCATAATTGGATACTAGCTAAATTTTCGCATGTTTTTGAGGTCTGCTAAGTTCTCTCTAAATTGTATTTGAGAAATAGTTTCGGGGCAGAGACCCTTTGAGTTTCGGGAGTTTCGGGGCAGAGACTCTTTGAGTTTCGGGGCACAGACCCTTTGAATTTTTGTATAAAAAGTAAAAGCAATTAAAAAGGGAAAAGTGTAAAAGCACCTTTGTCACAAAAAGTTTTGTAATTAACCAATTCCAGGCTTGATAAATGACAAAAGTATAAAAGCAACAATATGCAACATTTCAGTGATCACGGGTTTAAATTGTGTGTTTTCGGTGTGAACAGAGTTCACCGGAGAGTTATATCTACAGTTGAGCTTTAGCTTTCGTAGATATTTACATTTTTTGTCACGGCTCGGGCTGTATCCAACAGTTTTTTTTTTGTTTTTTTTTCTGGGATCGCGTCTTTCATTCAGACAGAAAACATGTTTTATTGTCGATGGTAGAGACAGCACGAACAACACAAACGAAAGGATGTAACAAACTGTTAGTGATAATATAGCATGGGAGAATGAAGTCCTCCAATCAGCAGCTGCCACGGTGCCATGTAGCTTGGCCTTCAGATAGTCAAAACATGAAGTGGAAAAGTACAAGCTTCTGCACATTGATAGAATGATGAGTTTAACTTTAACAAAATGAAATCTCACATTCCCCCCTCTGGTCACACATTCACGTGTGACCATTATGATCGATAAACAGCAACATAACATCATATCTCAATACTTCAAAAACTCGGTACTTCACTCGGTACTTCAAAAATCTCAGAACTCGGAATACTTCAAAAACTCAGAAAACTCAGAAAACCCGTTCAGATCTTTCATAAAACTTGTCAATAATCTTCAGTAAAATACCAAACTCATCAGTCGATGGTGGTTCCAGATATTGCTTTGAAAACAGTCTCTTCCACTTCTCTGTTTTGATTCTTCAGGCTGTATTTGTTGTGTCAAGCCATGAATTCTTCTGTGACGTGTCTTTCAATCACACGTTTCAGCTTTAGTGTCCAGATTCAGAAATTCAATTCAGTCCAAATTATGTCCAAATTGTGTAATCCAATTGTTCCAAATGATGTCCATGCAAAAGAGGTCGATGGTATTGTCCATGTCTCAGCAGCTCACAGCCTGAGTGGAGTCAGGGGCTGTGCAGATTGTCCATGTGCTGATCCAGATGCATGGGTTCTCTTGAGGTTTCTCAGTTTTGGCTTGAAAAAACCCCCCAAATTTTTGTGTAAAAAAAAAAAAAGTCTTCTGTTCTCTAGATGTTACAGACAAGGCCCGCATCCTTCCACCACCTGAAGAGAATGAGCCAATGTCTGGGATCGCATCTTTAATTCAGACAGTACACAGTTTATATAGTCATTGTCACACATGGAAAGACATACGTGTCACACAGAGACCGTGCAAATCATAGTCAAAACATGGAGTCCATCAGAGTCCTTGTATTGTCCTGCACGTAGGCCATATTGCTATCTAAACCTAACAGTACCCTAAGCTCCCCTAAGCTCTTAGCATTACAGCTATTTGTATTGTAAAGCTGCACTGGGAGAGAAAACCCCCTCAAAGAGCATCATTATGGTGCATATTCACACGTCATGAAAACACGTGCTGCTCGTGTGCATGAATTTTGTTATTTGAAGTCTAAAATATCAAATTGCTGCCCAGAGGGAGAAAAGTCACACAAAGGCTAATTTTCCATTGGAATCATGAATTCAATTTACCTGATGGCTCCCAGACTGAAATAGAAAATGGTTGGCCGTAAAAACAAAGTAAAAAACTAGTGAATGCTGCAGAGAGCTGTAAATACTGAGCATCACTTTTGTATGTGAATAAAAAAGTGTCCAGTAGATGTTTGTCGGCTGCAGTTTTACCGTAGATGGTTGCAGTAGAGCAGCTGAGGCAGCAGGCTCTTCACGCTGCTGTAGTTGAGGCAGTGGCTGAGGTTGGTCTGGAGGCTGCACTCAGGAGACACGTGCAGCAGGAAGCTGAGCACCACACATTGAGCTCTGCACATCTTCACAGAGAGGCTTCCCTGGCGCAGATCCTCCTCCACGCTCCGCAGCAGCTCCATGTGCTGTAGTTCATAGAGACAGTAGGCCAGGTTCACAGAGCGCAGGGACACCAGGGGGCCACTGTCAGACAGTAGACTGTGGATGAAGCCCGCGGCCCAGGCCTTCTGGCTGCCGTCGTCTTTCCACAGAGCCACAAGAGCAGACAGTGGCGTCAGGGCATTAGGGTTAAGAAGACCAGAGAGAAAACGAACAAAAACATCAAAGTGACCACTGTCGTCTTTCTGGGAGTAGTGAAAAGAATTTCTGAAGTGGTTCTGGAAGCCAATTTTAGGCCACGACACAGTACTTTCAGAGAACAGGTCAAAGATGGCCCGCTTTGAAGAAACATAATAGTAGACAGCAGCAAAAAATTCCTGTATGCACAAATGAGTGAAACGGTACACAGTGGAAATGAGAGACTCTTCGTGCTTAAGAACTGCCCTTCCCAGACTGCACTGCTGCAGAGCCTGGTCAATGCCATAGGCCCTGAGCTCCTGCTCACTGAAGCTGTACTTGTGTCTAACAAGGGCGTTAAAAGCCAGGCGTGCCAGACTCCACATCAGTTTACGGTTACTCATATGGAGCAGCTCGCTCTTTACCGACTCTCTGCCTCGTGGTTCTCCGATCTCTGCCTTCATCAGGCAGAAATGGGCAAACAGCTCCGTGCACGTCCTCGGGAGATTGGGCTGAGAACCTTGGTTGCTTTGTATGATAAACTTTAGAGTATCTGCCACTATCCAGCAAATAGCTGGAATATAACAGATGGCCATAAAAGTCTTATGAGCTTCTAAGTGGGCCCAGATAATACTTTCATACTCAGAGAAGAATTGGGTTAAAAATTCTTGAATGTTTTCTTGACTAAAACCTTGGATTTCAGTCACTCTGTCAATTAATCCCCCAGGGATCACGGAAGCCACTCCAGGTCTTGAAGTCACCCACACTGCCACATGTGGAAGCAGGTTTCCTTGAAGAATGTTAGTAATTAATTCACCCATAGACACCTCTTTCTTTGGATCACTGCAGGCATCTGTCTCAGTGAAATTCAATGTGCTTCTGAAGTGGTCCAAGCCGTCCAGGATGAGCAGACTCCTGCAGGAGCTGCTCAGTACTATGGCCTCAGGGAGGTGAGGGAAGGCCATCTTCAGGAGTTTCTCAACAGACACTTTCTCCAGGGAATTCAGCTCGCAGCAGCTGAAAGGCAGCACAAAGCTTATGTCGGGACAAATGGCTCCTCGGCTCCACATTCTGACCAAGTGCCTGATCCAGGTGGTCTTTCCAACCCCAGCCACCCCAATGGTGAGCGACAGTCGGGGCGAGGTGCTGGCCTGAGTCAGTGGTTCCAGAAGAGTAGAGAGGCTCAGCTCTTTCTGAAGCCTCCTCTGGTTTCCATGTGTGGCCTGCACCTGCATCAGGTCATGCTCTTTCTGCTGCAGATCAGACTGCTCCTCCACCAGCAGCAAACACAAGTGCGACATGTTCACTTTGTCTCTGTGTTCTCCACAGCGCCTCAGGAGCACGTCTTTGTGCTCCTGCACCGACACGTCTGAAACAAGAACAAATCATTTCTTTTGTTCATCAAGAGCCTCTTCTTTTGACACAGATAATGAGCTCTCCTCAGATGAACGGCACAGACAGAGATGTGCTCCTTACCGTGTTTGATGATGAGCTGGGCCTCCAGGGAGTCCGACTTCTCCACAAAGTGGCGCATCACGCTGAAGCCAGAGGAGCTCTTCCCCGACAGGAGAACAGAGATGAGCGCGGTCACCTGGTCTGCGAGCTGAGCTGCTCTCTGAATCCTCGCCTCTTCACACGGACTCAGCACATTCATGCTCTTCAAGTGGGTTATCATCTGCTGCAGGAAAGGACCAGTGCTGAAGCGACAGAACTGCTGCTGGTGCTGCTGTATCCAAACACTGTCTGCAATTCAAACAAACTGATAAATGTACACAACATGTTGACATCAAAGTTTAAAGTGCAAAAACATATATCCTAGAATTTGTGATGGAAGCAATCACACACAGTTACAAGAGAGATTTGTGTGGCACAGAGTGGACAGAGTAAACGAGAATGTGTGCTGCTGTTGATAAAACCAGAAAAAAGTTGTAGAATTTTTAAAGAAATGTAAACTTTTACAGCAATTTTCTCGCCTCCAAAAAAAAGTGTGAAAAAATCTTAAATGATGTAAATCAAAAGTGCAGCGTGCGTCCACTGTCCTGTGATGATGATAACAACCAACTCTGGGCAGATGAGGCCTGAGTTTGAGCTCAGTGCAGTGAAAACATGTGTTCATGCAAAAAGGAAGTCCGTCTAAAATGGCCGACGTCCTGTTTGTCAGGAGCAGAGCTTTAATCATTTCATAGTGCCTGTGTTTGAAGCCATACATTAGGGCGTGTGGTACATGCTGCACAGATGTATACAGCAGCACTGTAGCATTTCTGAGAGGGAAAATGAAATGAAATGATTTCCTGCTTCATAATGGTGGTCTTATAATTTAGTCGGTTCCTTTGGGGCAAAAGATGAATCGAAGAACAGAAATTCTCTTTTCTATAGATTTCACTTCAGCTCCTTTTCAAAGCTTCTCCGTACATGATATTCAAACACGTAATACATGGTATTTGTCCTAAATGTTCAGATATAGGTGAAATGAAGAAGTTCATGTTCAGAAACAGGCTTTGCTCTTCACTGATAGTAATTTTGTGAAAAAAAATATGAGTTTCATTCTTTCTGGAGCAAATCCTTTCAAATATTCTGCCAACAACAAAACATGTGGAAGTCCGAAGCTCGGGAACGCAACCTTTTCACACCTTTTCACAACAGAGATTTCTCTTTTTGCAATTGAACTCTTCGATTCTGACCACAACATTCTGTCTTTATTTATATATATATGTACATTTTATTCATGCTAGAAGAGGCCTGAGTCACTGTTTGATGCTTTGGGTTGGGAACTGTCCTTACTCGATTGAACTGAAAAACAGACACAAAATACATACTTATATCTATAGACTAGTGAATGAACATAACTTTTTTTAAATAAATAAAACGTAGTTCATTTTGGCGATTTGAAAGTCATAGTACCCAAGCTTTTAGCTGGCTGAAAACACAAAAGTCGTACCCTGAAAAAGCAAAAAAAAAAAATCTGAAATATTCTCTCCTTTGTGTGTAGCACCGGTCACCAAGGACATTTATTATCACACAAATACAAATCGATATTTATTTGTATTTTTTTTTTTTATTATTTCCTATTTCCCTCCACTCAGCTCCTGGTGCCTCCTCCTCGTCACCATGAGGAACAGAGCATTCAGCCGCCCTGCTCCCCTCTGAAACACCCTTCCCCCTGACCTCCGCAACACTGACATTAGAGTTAGTGTTGCGGGCCCTAACCCCTAAAACACACTCAGGGCCTAACCCTTTCTCACAGATTGTGGGACCTTCAGGACACGGTCAGATGCAACGATCCTGACGCTGCTGCTTCTGCTGCTGCTGCGGTCGTCCTGCCATTGTTCATTAATCTTGTGCTGTGTCTCCTCATTCCTACTGTTCTGCTGATGCAACACTGACATTTCCCCACTGGGGGATGAATAAAGGATCTCTTCATCGTAATCTTAGTTTATAAGAACATTTCTATAAAATCATTGACGATCGCAGCCCCAACTTATGGTGATTGTAATGGCAGCTCCGGTTGACCTCTATAATTATAAACATTAATCCTGAAGGTCAGATTTCTAAGATTGTGTTAATTATGCAAATCAGTGTTTAGTTGAAAATGAAAAATATACCCAACAGAATCAATCCTTATTAATGTTGAACCAGATTCATCTTGTTGTGGTCTACGCCTATTGATGGGAAAAGTATCTTTAAATTTTCATCTTCAGTTTAGGTTTAGTCCAAGTTAACGCACCATTTATTTTTGGAACCCACAATGTTGAGCCAGAGTGTTAATGGTTACCCAGTGTGAAAACTAAAAAAGGTTTTCTTGAGTTTGTGTGCAATCTTCTTTCAATACCTACTGCAGGAAGATGAGGCCAGAGATGGGTCTGGAGTACAGGTAAAGGTGCACTTTATTAATCCCCGTAGGGTAATTCAATCCTCTGCATTTGACCCATCCTGAGCTGGAGCAGTGGTCGCCGTAGTAACAGTGCCCGGGAACCCATATCCAGAAGATGATGCTCGGCTAGGTCAGGACTACCGGAGCTGGAGGATTTAACATAGTGAGCATGTTTCTGGTGGTCGGGGAAACCAGAGTATCCGGAGGAAACCTACACAGGCACGGGGAGAACATGCAAACTCCACTCAGAAAGACCCTTCTCCGACTGAGATTCAAACCCAGGACCTTCTTGCTGAGAGGCGAGAGTGCTATCCACTCAGCCACCGTGCTGCCCACGGTGTGGGACTTGGAGACACGGTTACACTCTGCCATATTCTCCTCGCAAGTTCAGCAAGTCATAAGAAACAAAATATACCTGTCTGAGTTGTGTATTTGTCCAAGAACCAACGTTAACCCTAACCCTAACCCTGACCCTAACCTACCCTCGGTGTCCGTCTGGGCGACCGGAGAGCTGCTTGAAGACTGGAGGTCCATATAACAGTCGTCCTGCCACATGATGCGTTTACTTCGATCCAGAAAGGAATCGTAGTGGCTTCTATTTGCCATCACACTGAAGAAAACAACATAAACAAATTATATTACTGTACAGTCAGTCAACACAATACAAAGTATTATATTCAACAGGTGTTTCAGACCAGTCCTCAAAAGGCCGGTGTCAGGATTTCATTCCAACCAAGCAGGAACACACCTATGACTCCACCCATTTTGACAGGTCCAGTCTCGAGGAAATGAGTGGAGTCTGCCCTGCTCCTGCTTGGTTGAAATGAAACCAGTTTGACATCCTGACCCACAGCTATGTGTGTGTGTGAGTGTGTGTGTGTGTGTGTGTGTGTGTTTTTTATATCCCGGTTAAAATATTACTCTTATCATTTTACAGATTAGTTTTTCTTACATCCCTCACCTGAACAGAGCTGAGGGGTAACTAGTGGTAGGGGGAAGCAGAGCACCTACATGCACCCACGATTTGAAACACATAATTGTTCCTGAGAAGTGAGAGGGTTAATGATTGAACGAGGACTTGACGGTTAAGTAGAGTCCTCCTGGACCTGAGTGTGGAATGGCTCAGTTTGTTTTAAGAGAATATTAAGAACACTCTCCAGGTTCGGTACATTTGGGTTTGAAGCAAAAGCTGAAGTTTTTCAAAGATTCCCCAGGCTTTGAACATTTCACAGAGCACTGTTAGATCCGTCAGCTTGGAATAGAAAAAGTATGGCACAACTGCAAATCTACCAAGACAGGGCTCACTGACAGTTCAAACAATGATCGCAGATACAGACAAGAGGCCAATGGTTACTCTGGAGGAGCTGCAGACATCCACAGCTCATGGGGGAATCTGTACATAGGACAAAGGGACAGTACACAATGTGGTCGTCACTCTCCTCACCACAGTCCTCCCACTCCCTGTGTGTCAGTGTCAAAGTGGATTGAGCAAAATATAGAACAATCTTGGAATAAAAGCAGAGTCTACAACAGAAAGGAGACAGGAGGAGGTTTATCTACACGCACATGGACGCTGGAGACTTTTACATGTCACATTTGGCACGGATAGAGCCACTCAAATTGCGCAAAAGACAGAAGTGTGCAAACATGTTCAAGGTTAAAAATATAGTTTGTGCAGGATGTAATCATGTACAATAAAAAAGGCTTCTGTCACAGGGTGGAAAACAAGGAAGGACCCAAAATTCAGGACTTCAAAATACGGGATTTCATGGACGTAATAACAAAGCAGAGCAAAAGAGTAAAAACACCAAAACGAAACCAAAGAAGTGACGAACACAAGAAACAAGACGTGGAAAAGGACAGAACAATGATTTCACAATTACAGACAGCAACATTTCAAAACCTTTGCTTTTGAGAAAACAAAGCGCAAAACTACTGTAAAAAAAACATCTTTTATAAGTATTTTGACAATATTTATTTTCTTTTATTCAATGGAAAACTACAGAAACCCAAGAAACTCAGTGCATAGAAGAGTCTTTCAAACCAAGTACCATCTTTATTGATTTAAACCTAGCAAATAACCTTCTGTTAAAAAACAATAAAAAATCCTTTTCGGGAAACGATATTTTCGAAGAAATGCTAAAATCTCTCTTCAGTTTGAGCACCTGCTTGTATCGCTTTGGCTTTGGATTGACACTGAACCTGTCTTTATGTAAAAAGTACACGGTGTCTCGAGGCAAAAAAGGATAACCCAAAGTCATTTTATCAAATCAAAAACAAAATGAAAATTCAGCATAAAAATAGAAAAAGGAACAAGGGACAAAGACAAGAATGAATACACCGAGTTTAAACCATAGACTGTAAATATTAGCGGAAGTAGTCACGCCTACTGTATCTCCACCGTTGTGACCCCCCTCCTCCTGCTCTGCTGCCCCCAGCAGATAAACCCAGCTGACCTCGTCTCCATCCCCTGATCGTTCCGTCGCAAGAGCTGAGAATCAAACTCTGGCTTTTCAGAATCATCTAGAGATTCATGATGTTGGTTTTCTTTTGTTGGTCTCCAGAAGCTCTTTGTGGAACCAGCATCCTCCACTTCAGCCCTGTGTTTCCTGGTCAGTCTAAGTTACCTCCTCTTCATCGCCTTCGTCTTGGTCCTGTCTTGGTCTTGTCCTGGTCCTGTCCTAGTCTTGCCCTGGTCCTGTCCTGGTTTTGGTCTTGGTCCTGGTCTTGGTCTTGTCCTAGTCTTTGCCTGGTCTTGCCCTGGTCCTGGTCTTGATTCTGATCTTGGTCTTGCCCTGATCCTGTCCTGGTCCTGCCCCGGTTCTGTCCTGGTTCTATCCTGGTCTTTCCCTGGTCTTTCCCTGGTCTTGCCTTGGTCTTACCCTGGTCCTCTCCTGGTCTTGTCTTGGTTATCTCCTGGTCCTGCCCTGGTCTTGCCCTGGTCTTGCCCTGGTCTTGCCCTGGTCCTGCCCTGGTCCCATCCTGGTCCTGCCCTGGTCCCATCCTGCTTCTCTGTCTTGTACTTTTGTTATAAGCCCTTTCTTTTGTTTATTAATCTGAACAGAACCATGTGGCCATGACATGGACTGAACTGAGCTCATTACAGAAAGTCCTTTCCTCCCAGAGCAAATCCACATCGACAACTCCACGAGACACTGCAGCATTTACAAGATTCCAATCTCACTCTCTGTGCTCAAGTTAAAATTAAGAGATCCTTTATTCGTCCCACAGTGGGTAAATTTCAGTGTTGCATTACAAGTTACAGAACAGTCGGAATGAGGAGCACACAGCACAAGAGTAATGAAGAATAACTCTGTAAACAATATAAAATCAAATACATTTCTAACTCAAACATAAAAGGATGGAAATTGGACCACACAAAAATATTACGAACAGAAGAACATAAATAAAAAAGATGGATACTGGATACTGGACCAACGACAGAGACGAAGGGGCTTTCACCAGAAAAATGTCTCATAGAACTCAATGTAAACTAAATGAGCTCAACCTCAGCTGACAAATATGTGCGACATCCTGGACCACCGAGGTTTGGTCACCTCCGACGAAGGCGGTAGTCTACAGAAACATGTGGTAATTAAGCAGTACTAGCTTTCTTTACTTATTTGTCTTATTCAAAAGAATCTTCTTAGCCGGGGTTGTCCAAACATTTTAGTAAGAGAGCCACTTTAGTTCACCAGACTAGTCCAGGAGCCAACATCACAGGTAAAAAAAACTGTCTTGACTGGCATCTGGGATATATAACAGAGCTGAAGTTGGCTGAATGACAATTGTCTACCAAGCTACAGTAGCACCATTAACGGAGGTTTGAGACACAATCATAAACTAGGCTGGTAAAGTATGTACGGTACAAATAAAGTCATCGACTGAACTCCAGACGTGGGATTTAGAACGAGGTACGACATGTCTATATGGGCTGAGCTGAAGTTGGATGGATGACACAGTGAACTTGCGTTTACGATCTCAGAGACTACAAGGGGTTAGCGAGGCAGAGGGCCACATAAAATGATACAGAGGGCCGCAGTTGGCTCCTGGGCCTGAGTTTGGACATGCCTGTTCTAAGCATAGACTGTATATATTAACGGACGGAGTCACGCCTATCTCCGCCGTTCTAACTAATGGGCCAAAAAATGTGCTCTACTGGAGCTATCCAAAATGGCCGCGAGTTGTCACGCCCACAAGAAAAATTGTGAAAAAACGCATTTGCGCATGCGTCAGCCGGCGCAACTCCATTCATTTGTACGAGAGACTTCAGAAATTCACAGCAAGTAAACTAGAGTGGACCAAAAAAATCCACCCCCCTAATGTTTACTTACAGACAAAACAAACAGTCAGTCACCCAAAGCGCTTTACAATGTTCAGAGTTCAGATATTGTTTCAATCATTCCACACACGGTGATGACGGAAGCGAGTCGCCGAACACACTGGACCATCAGCCCCCAACCAACACCATCCATTCACTCTCTCATTTACATTCATACCTAATTGCATGTTTTTAGTGGTAGGGAAAACCGGAGGAAACCTACGCAGACATGGGGAAAGGCCCTGTGCCGACCGGGATTCAAACCCAGGACCTTCTTGCTGAGAAGCGAGAGTGCTATCCACCAAGCTTGGCTCGGGGCCTTCTTTGAATTGAGCTGTCTCTGTTCAAGTAAGCCGCACTTTTGATATTTTGAACCTGTCGAGAGTTCAATAAGGCAGGTATGTTCACAGCAGGGCGGCACGGTGGCTGAGTGGTTAGCACCTTCACTTCTCAGCTGAAAGGTTCTAAGTACGAACCCCAGTCATAGCAGGGACTTTCTGATATATGCATTAGTTGAATTAATTTTATCTTTTATTGCAATCACTTGTGTTTACTTGGTAACATCATGTCAAGGATGTACTCGAGGAATTCAAGTTAATGTGCAATTTATTTCCAAGGTTTTTTCAAGTATACTTGTCAGGGTTTACAGTGTGGAAGAGCTCTTGATTGAAGAGAAGCTGAGTAGCGTATAGAGAACATATGAAGCTATGGAGGAAGCAGCATGTGCTACAGTGGGGAGAAGTATTGGATACACTGCTGATGTTTGAAGTTTTCCCACTTACAAAGAAGTCCGTAATCTGTATCAAAGCTTTTCAAAAGTGAGGCACAGAATCTAAAAATGCACTGTGAAGCTATTAGCCGAGCTGCGCAAGTTTGCTTGTTGATTATCGGTAGTTCCCACTGTCCTGGTCCTGGCTCCTCTGGTCATCCTGGTTTTAGCTTGAATCCATTCTCTTATTTCTTGTGAAAGCAGAATGTAAGAATTGTTTTTCAAGTCATCACATGGCTCTAATATTTCAAAAAGCATTGATAAAACATGCTCTTTTCCAATACTTCTTTAACTGATAACAGTAGTTCAGAGATATTTGAATTTCAAAATGAGCTTTACAGCCCTTAAATCTTGTTTTCATTTCGATGTCCCGCTCTCCACCGTTTCACCAATCAGAAAGTCTGTTGTGATCCGGACCCCAGAACTCACAGCGTCGAGCTAATCTCACTGGTAAAGTACCATGTGGCCACAGAACTAAAAAAGATCTTGTTATGATTCTCAAATCTTAATGACAAA